ACCTGCAGGTCCTGTCACATGGAGGTCAGAGGTCAAACACAAACACACCTGTAACACACCTGTAACACACCTGCAGGTCCTCTCACACAGATCACACACACACACTCACCTGATGCACACCTGCAGGTCCTGTCACATGGAGGTCAGAGGTCACACACACTCACCTGTAACACACCTGTACCGAGTGTGTCACAATCCGTATATTTCTATGTATTACTTAAAACGTTCCTTTTACCTGCGTCACATGAAGTCACACTGTGGCTCTGTGTCTCATTGGCTGTCAGGTTACTATGGAGAGGATATGAATGCCATCATCCTGTTCACCTCCTGCTACCTGCCAGAGAACACGGTGGAGGACTATGAGTATGTCATGGACAACCTGTTCAGGTGAGCTTACAGGAGCAGAGCTGATGTAGCAGTTAAGGTGTGAGGAAGTTTCAGTTGAAGTGTAAGAACAAATTCTACAGTGTGTGTGTGTGTGTGTGTGTGTGTTCCTGCAGGTACATTGTGGGAACATTGGACCTGATGGTTTCAGAGAACTACATGCTGGTCTACCTGTGTGCCATGGCTCCCAGAAACAAACTACCGTCCATCAAATGGCTCCACCAGTGTTACACGTCCATTGACAGGAGGTACGCTGGTTTCACTCAGCAGGACAGCACTGCAGGGTGGAGCTGTCTTCACACAGTCTTTGTTTCCTGAGTGTGGTGTCTGGATAGCTGCTTTGAATAAATGTCAGAAGGAATTAAACTGTCAGCGGTGTTTATCAATAAATGTCAGAGAGCGGACCTTGTTTCCATGACAACAGAGGTGTTATCTAAGTCTGTCTGTCTGTCTGTCTGTCCAGGCTGAAGAAGGACCTGAAGGGGCTGCTGGTCGTCCATCCTGCCTGGTACATCAGAGCTCTCCTCACACTGGTCAAACCCTTCATCAGGTCTGCGACACACACGCACACACACACACACACACACACACACACACAACATAACATAAAATAACACAACAGTTACCGTTAGATAACAGGTCTGTCTGTCTCTCTGTCTGTCGTCCACAGTGATAAGTTCAGCAGGAAGATTCGGTTCATTCACAGTCTGAGGGAACTGTCTCAGTTCATCCCCACAGAGAGACTACAGATCCCAGATGCGATACGGCAGTAAGAGCTCCAACTCTACTGTTACTCTACTGTAGTTCTACTAACCCTACTGTTATCCTGTTTTAGTTCTACTGACTCTATTGTTACTCTACTGTAGTTCTACTGACCTTACTGTAACTCTACTGTAGTTCTAGACCCTATTGTTACTCTACTGTAGTTCTACTGACCTTATTGTTACTCTACTGTAGTTCTACTGACCTTACTGTAACTCTACTGTAGTTCTA